TCACGAGAATGATTATTATTATGACTAACCATTAATAATTATAAAATTATGTTATTAAATAAAACTTGAAATACCTTACACCTACCTTGTATAAACCGAAAAATCCTAATTCTTTGACAACGGAAAAAGCACTTATTTTACTTCCGCCAGCTATTTCACCGGCAACTTGTAATCTAATTTTAACTATTTCCAACGGATTCGTAAAAACAACTTGTGATCCACCAGCCTAAAGGATTTACATGTGTTAAAAAATTTACAAAAAGGTTCAAACAAACCATAGTAAATAAATTTACAACGTCAAACTTACACAACCTCCTGATATAATTTCACCGTACAAAGCAATGTTTCCGTGACGATCCATAAATTTATCCCTGACAAAATCATTTACGGTTAATTTAATGGCTTTTTCCGGAGCTACGCCCATGAGCTGCGGCAATAAACCTCTGTACAACCCGAAAAAACCTTCGTGACGAATGACTTTACGAAAACAATCGAACGAATTACGATACATAAGTTCGCCGATGAAAGACCCACTTCTCTGATTTTGCATTCTCGTTTTAACCAAGTCTATCGGGTAAACTGCTGTCGCTCCAACGGCTTTAAAATGAAAAAAAAAACCTTTATAGTGATTGTAAGAAAATCAAAACGGTTTCGTACAATAGTGATTAAATAAAAAATTTCAAATTTACCTCCGGCTATCGAGCCCAATGCGAACCTGTACACGCTTTCCAAAACTTGTATGAATACACCTCTTTCTTCCGGACTAGAAACGGCATGAATTTCAGCCAATCTTTTATTGATGTGTTTAAAATATTGTTCGGGAGCGATAACTTGTAAATCATTGTAAACTATTTTTCTAATAAAAAAAAAAAAATAATAATAATAATAATAATAATAGAAAACAAAAACAAAACGACTTTTTTTTAATTAAAATTTTTCACCGTAAAAGAGTAAATATGATTACCCCGATTGATATAGTAAATGACACAAATGAAACAATATGTCTACTTCTAACGGAGTTATTTGTGACATCATTTGTGCGGAAAACAAAAATTCATCCTTTGTTACTTCTTGCAATTTATTTCCGTTTGTTGCATTTAAATAAATTCTTTTTATTAATTCCATATTATTGAGCAACGAATTAAAGGCCATAAAGTAAGGAAATGACACTCTGTGTCCTCCGTCTGCCGTGTAAGTAGACTACATTTAAAATTAATCATTTATTTTATATTATAAATAATTGTCAAATTTATTAATTTATTTTTTCTGTTTAATTATTCACTTACAGCCATCAAATTTTGTTCAACTTGCGGCGTCAATAGATGACTTTTTATTGATACCATAATGTCTTGAAAATCAGCTGCGGAAATAAAACCAGTTCCGTCTTTGTCGAATCTTCTAAAGGCCTCCGTGGCATATTCTTCGTGAAAATCCTTGAAATTATTATAATATATTTTAAAAAAATTTCATCACGTTACAAACTGTGTGTCTTACAACAATTTTTTTTTTTTTTTTAATTTTAACTAACATGTAAAAATTGACCGAATTCTACATAATTAATGACTCTAGTTTTATCTTTTCCAAAATACAATTTGATGAACCCTCCATTCATGTCGAAGGGAACCCTTTGATGAAGTGTAGTCTTTTTAATGACTTCACTGAATTCATCTATCAATAAATAATCAGTAAATAATGAGTAAATCATTTGTTGTAAAAGCTTCCAATGTGAAATTAAAGAAAGAATCGATCGAAAAAAAAACTCACCGAACGTTATCATCCCATTTCCGTTAATGTCGAATAATTGAAAGGCAGTTTTATAAAGGGCATCCGGCAAACAAAGAAGTCCTTCGAAAGCTTGAAATTCAGAAAAGGATATGAGTCCATCTTTTCTAGGATCCACTATTCCGGCCAATAGACTCACGGATTCTTTATTTCTATCATCCGATGTAAATATTCCTAAATAACGACGGATAAAATCATCAGAGGTCATGAACCGAGTACCTTCCTTTTCCACGGACGCATATTTATTGAAAATTTCATGTAATTTCTCTGTGTTAGCACGTTTTAAGTACCCGCCTGAACCCTAAAATGAAAATTTTCATATGCTCACGAATAAAAAATAATTTTTTTCGAAAAATAGAATAAGTAAGAGTTATAATAAATAAGAGTTATAATAAGTAAGAGTTATAATAATAACATTTTTATCATTTGAAAGTGCTTACAATTCGTACAAGAGAAAAAAAAAAAATTTTTTCAAACACAAAATTATTGCGAAATTATTTTTATAATCAATGTGGGGTCTTCTTCATTCTCATATCTCGAAAAACAAAACCTTGGGCTTTGACCTTTTACAAACGATATTTTTTGCGATTAAAAAATTCAATATTAAATTTTAAATAGTGATATTAATTAAATTTTTATTTAAATACGGGAAAGTAAAACTTTTTCAAAAAAAAAAAAAAACTTAACGTATGATTTCGATTGCTATTATACAAAAAAAATTTTTCGAATACAAATCGACACTAAGATAATTAAAAAAAAAAAAAAAATAGATTTTTTTGTGTAAATAATACAAATTTAAACTTTTGTTTTTTAATTTTATCATAATTTAAAAAAAAAAAAAAACTTTAAAACTTAAATTAACTGTAAATTTCAAATTAATCAAAATTTACATGAACTTGATCAAGTTATAAAAAGTTGGTCGTGGTTAGTAAAAAAAATTTATTTAGCCTCAGTACATGTGCTTTTCTAACAATTAAAAAAAAAAAAAAAAAGTTTAAAAAATTTTAACGATCGTTTTTAAACGATTATTTTATTAACCTCAAATCGAAAATAAAATATATATATATAAAAAGAAAAATTACCTGGTACCCAAGGAGTAAACTATCATTAATTTTTAACATTTTTTTTTTTTAAAGTGTATATAAATTATTTTGAGTTTAAAAAAAAATGATGATGAGGGAAAAATGACATTTGATCACCAAAATAACACAAAATAAAAATTTAAATAACTTTAAATATTTGACTTAAATAAAATATTGATGATATTCCCCCCATTGCCACAAGATTGAAACTAAGGTGCTAACAAAGTTTATGTTGCTGTTGTTGTATTGGGATTTTATAAGATATTGAAAAATTCATTACGTATTATTCGGTGCAAGGTCAATAAATGTAATGTTAAATCAAATCTGGGGATCAGGAGATGATAATATTTTTCTTACAAAAAAAAATTTTAACGTCAAAGAACGGAAAATTTTTCTTAAAAAAAAAAAAAAAAAACATTGAATAAAAATAAATCATAAAATTTGGCCAAAAAAAAAATTGAAGCCATAAGTACACGAACTTAATAAATAAATCCTACATACGGTCACCATAAAAAAAAAAAAAAAAAAAAAAAATTAAAGATTAAAAAGAGAGGTTAATAATTATTTTAAAAGTAACGTGACTAAATCATCGAAACTTTTTCTTTTTTTTTTTTTTAAGAATACAAATAATACGTTAAATTTTTTCAAAACGTTTTTTATTAAATGGATGTGATCATTACGAGATATATTAATATATATAAAAAAATTCAAATGATTAACGCAAACGTAAAGATAATTAAATTGTATTTAATAAAACACATTAAGAACAAAGTATTTTAATAAAATTTAATTAATTGTAAAAGAGACCTTGAAATAAAATAATATTTTAATAAGCCCCCTACAGATTAAACATTTCAA